TGTGCTGAGTAGTCCGGCCAGAAAAAGCCAAAACTTAAGAAGTCTGCTTGCAGACTGAGCAGCAGAAGCAGTGTTCTCTGACTGTCTGAATATCCTTATTTCTCAGGTTAGTTCTGAGTTTTGTTGTCTTTGAAAGGGATAAAAAAGCAAGCCACATACTATTTTATCATGAGTCTTCTGAAGGTTGGGGTTAAAAAATAAGTTAGCATTGCTGTGCCAGGATACAGGGAAGCATGATTTAGCATAAGTATTCAAGGAGGCTGCTTTGATTAAAAATAATAATAATAAAGTAAAACTTAGAACTAGATTAAAATTGTTGGTGCAGAAGAGGAAAAGACATTTTTTATTTGCTTTGGGGTTTGGGTGTTTGTTTGTTTATGTAGTTCAACATTTGAATCTTTCTTGGCATTTAAAACATCTCAGCCAGTGTCATTCCAATGTGCACTGTTTGTAGGTTTGATCTTTGGACAAGGTTCTGTGAGATCTGCTGAGGGGGCCGTGCAAGAGCTGCCAAGGGGGAAATGACTGAAGTTTGAAATCTTAGAAAAAGAAGATGTTTTAAAGCTACTGGTGACCTACAGGGAAGCAGAGTGAAGAGGGGAGGTTAGGGGAAACGGGACCTCTTTCAAGGAAATAGATTTAAAGAGAAGGTAAAAGCAGCTATCAAGGCCTTAAAATAAGTCCATGAAGGCCGAGGGTAAGAGGAGCTTGGCCAGGGAACCTCTTAGTCCTGAAAGCCTGGCTTGGACTTCTTGGGGGTTAGCCTTGAAGCAGATTCTAAGTAAGTATGCAAGTGTCTACAGGAAGTGTGTTTCAGTAGCCACCCTGGATTCAGCACCCGGTGTGGGGGGGTGGGGAGTTCACAGTCTGACTCTTGGGCCATTAGAGAGGAAGGGGTGTGTGTGGCATTGCCTGGACTGGGTTTATGTGCCAAGACTTTCCGAGCAGGGACTGCCGAGAGTTTCTGAATGGAAGTCATAGCCTGGGCAATTGCAGACCCGACACCCTCCCCCCACCCCTTCCACACCCGCGCCCAGACATTCACTGAAAGGGAGAACTGTGCTTTTCTCCAGGGTATCCTGGTAGCACTTTGATTCTTGGCTTTTTATTTTAACTTCATCCACTGGCACTGTCAGTAATAGATTTAGAGGGCAATTTGCTTGCAACGTGCCCATCTTATTCCAAAATGCCCCCATTATTTTAGGAAGCCCTACCCTTCTCCCATGCTCTTTCGCAGTTCTTCTTGTGGGTAAGTCCAAGAGGTATGATCCTTCCGGAGTCCGGTCCTGCAGAGGTCACATTCTCTGTGTGATGGGGAAGGGTGGGAGGGGATGGTCCCCAGCGTTTGTCAGAAGCATATGCATTGGGTTGTGCTGACTGCACTCGCAGGCTTGTCAATTTTCACCCTGGGAAATTAGCAACAAAGCCTGGATCTGTCTCGTGGCTGCTTTTGCACTTTCCGAGGGCGGCTGTACTTGACTGAGCTGCAGAACAGACAGAGGGGAGAGAGAGAGAGCAAGCTAGCAAGCCAGCAAGCGAGAGAGCGAGCAAGAGAGAGAGGGAGCGAGCGAGCAAGCAAGGGAGCCAGCTAGAGGGAGGGAGAGAAGGAAGAGGGAGAAGAGGGAGGGGTGGGCTAGAGGTAAATACTCTTAAATCGGAAGGGAGCTGCCTCCAGTGTGGTCTTGACAGGCGCTGCCTGGGCTCCGCGGCGCTGTAATAACTGGGTGACCTTTTCTTGGGCTGTATTATGTCTGGCTGGGAAGGGATTGCATTTTGCGGCTGAGAGCCAGGGCTTGCTTCAGCTCGGGCTCCTCGCACGCTGCCGGGGTAAGTTGTCTGGAGCCAGGACCAAGAGAGACATCCCCCCCGGACTGCAGTTGCCTAAAAGAAGGACACCTGTGGCTCGCATGCGGTCCACACTGGTACTTTGCGGATCCTGGAGGACCTCATTAATTTAAACTTAAAAAAAAAAATAGAGATCCACCCCCCCTTTTTTTCAAACAATGTTTCTTTTTGACCTTTCCCAAGGAGAAGCGCTACCAAGCAGCCTCTGTGCTCACTGAACACCCTCCCTGTATCGCTTAATTGAGAAGGTAAGTGAGAGGCTGTGTATACACGCGTCGGCTCATTTGTGCTGTGTGTGTCTCTGGGTGCGCGCGTGCGTGTGCGGATGCTGGGTGTTTTTTTTTTTTTCTTCTTCTTCTTCTTCCCCATCCTCTCCCAATGAAGCATAAAGTAAAGCTGTGCCCGAACCATCCGCACCGCCACCACTGCAACTTTCACCGGGCTGCAGGTCTGCAGAGATGGGTTTTGTTTGTTTATTTTGTTTTGTTTAAATCATGGGAGGCATCATTATTTTTATGATGAGACACGAAATAGATGCGGGGAGGAAGATGAGGATGCCTGAGGAAGAAGGGGAGCGTGCGGCTGCAGCGCGAAATCTCAAGTAGGAGACCAGAGCATAATAGACAAAGTTCATTGGGAGCTGCAGCAATCACACACTGACTCAGGAAGAGAGGTTGGGACAGTTTACAAAGGTGGGAGGGTGGGGTGTTGATTCCAGGCTCAGTGAAGTGGTGTCAGTCCTGGGTATTTCCTCAGAACTCTCCATGCCTGCTTGGAAATGCATACCCCCTCCCCACCACCAAAAAAGAGTTGAAATTACAACCTTGTTCTTATCCACACCCCTGCTTTTACCCAGTGCAGTCTTGATAACAAAACACTGCTTCTGTGTGTTGCAAAAGTGACTATGTAGGGGCAGGCAGAGAGGAGACAAGTGCCCAGTGGAAGCAGGTTCCTTGGACCAAGTGCCTGCATCCTAACAGGTCTAGAGATCCAGCACGTTTTAAAGGGGGCTACTCAGATTGTTGTTATGAAACACAAGTCAGATTTATGATCTTTTTCATAGCGAACACGATATGCAATGCTAACACTGCCTGTGACGGTTTAATCAAATCCATTTGTTACCGGGAAGCTAAAAGGGGCCGCTGGGATTTTAGGATTACGGGCAGAGTTAGGGAAGCATGTGGCTTTGTCATTCGCCATGCCATCATTTTACACGTTCCCTCATCCCTTCCCCCCACCGCCTGCCTCCCTTGCCACGAGACCCCAGCTCCCAAAGTGGCTTCACAATAGTGGATTCTCGGCCCTGTATGCTGCTCACCAGATCCACGCTTAGGGCCCCAAATCCAAGTGGCTCCCCGCTTCTACTTCCTGCCTGTGGTGGGCTTGGTGCTCCACGCGAAGCTGCAGCGACTCAGGCACGCCTAAGTCAACTCATGCAGAAACAGGAGAAAAGTTTTGGTAAGGTTACAGTCTATCACAGATGCACTTTCTCCGGGCGCTCTGCACTCGTGGCTAGCTTCAAAGCCTGCCAGCTCTTCTATCTGCTGAAAGTACAAAATATTATTGTTGCTACTGCTTTTAAAGACGGCTGCTTTCGACCAATTAATCTCACTAGGTGCCACAAATACTGGCACATTCTTTGCAAAGCCATCCCTGTGTGGCTGCAAAGACACAGCCACAAAAGGTTGGATCATAAACTCCGCAAGGGGATTCTTTGTTAGAGTGTATGTATGTTTCTTATTTTTTTTTTATTTTGCATGTGAGCTGCATCAAAATTGAACCCAGTCTTGCAAATCTCTTGTTGGCCTTTGCCAAGCACTAGCACTTTGCTGCCATGGTAACTGTAATTAAACTGATAAGAGTGGGGAAATGTCAGTATCTCTGAGCCTTGCAGCTGCATTGGAGAAAAAGGGAATCAAATTGGTTCCCAGCTCCATTGCTCAAAAAGGGGAGGGTGGTGGAAGGACACGGAGGGGGGTTGGGAGTTGAAGGGGCAGAACAGAGTTAAGCAGCTCTAGTGCCAGAGATTTGGGGACATCTATTTGCATTGTTTTCCCTTAGGGGGCTGCAGCCTGTAGGGGTGCTCTGGGCCAGTGAACAGGGAGAAACAAGCTTTTAGGCCCAATCCAGCTTTCCTGTCTGGATTGGGGGGAGTGAGTGGGAGTGGGACGAAGAAGATGGGCAGGAGGAGAGAAAAATCTTTTGTTTGGTACACTTGGCAATCGAAAGGCTGTGTTGGCCAAATTCTTTTAATCTATGTCATTGCTCCCAGCTGCGAAACCTGCCTTCCCAATTTTAGCATCCACTTTCCCAAAGCCCTTCCTGATGGAGCCCCTTCTCCTTCTCCCAAATTGTCCCCGCTAAATCTTCTGAAAGGGAAAGACTGTTTTCCATTCATCCATGTGATCAGTTCAAATAATACATCCGTGTTAAAAAAAAAAGGAAAGAAAGAAAGAAAGAAAAAAAGAAAAAACACTGTGCCTAAGTTGCTGCACATCTTTCATTATTGAGATGATTTTTTTAAGCCCTTGTGTGTTGTGGAGTTGTGGTTACTTTGTTGTGTTAAGTACTGAAGCTAAGACTGTGCGGATGAATGGCACAGAACAAGGGAACATAATGGATGCAATCAACCGTCAGGCCTTCTCACAATGCAATCCAGGCAATTAAAAGCTCACCAGAGTTTAAATGAAACGGCTCTCCTTATTTCTGCGCAGCACACTGCACAGGCTATTATTTATGTCTTTTTTAAAATTATGATTTCCCTTAAACTGTCAAATAACTCAGAATGGCAGGGTCTCAGAGGCAATAAGAATTTCCCTCGGAACAATTTGCATGCCAATCTAAAACTAGTTATGAGTGCTGATGGGCTATGAGCAACTTGTGAAGTGTCTCTTAGCCACGAACACATAACTCTCCCCAGACACACTCTCTTGGATGGAGAGCACAGAATGCTCAGTGCTTTCTGCTATGTAGGTGCCTGGCAACGTGGCAACTCCCAAGTGATTGTTTTCCTACATTTTTTTAATGCATAGAATGGAGCAGATTCTATTTGCAAGAGAAAGGAAGTAATGTTCTTTAAAAGAAGTTATGAGGATGGAGCAGAAAATATCAAACTTCTTTTATGCACAAGGCCAAACAGAATGAAAGAATTTCAGTTATTAATTGGCCTCTGAGTGCTAAATTAAAATGTCAACACAACAAAAACATTTTTTGAAGACAAGCAATATAGCATTTCTTGTGCCAAATGTTGGTATCTGCCGTCTTGGTTACAATTTATTTTGAATAAAGATAGCTGACCCTTTATACTTAATAATAATGTCACGAACATGGACAATAATGGAGCTTAGCTTACTACCAAGAATTTTTGTCTCATCTTTTATCTTTGTGATATAAAAAAACACAGACTTCAAGTTAATTAGAACAGTTACCTTAAACATACCTCTGTATGCTTTCAGTCATGAGATCTGGACTTCCTTAGTACAGTGAAATCCCTCTTCTCCCCCTAGGTATACGACTAAGAGGCACCTGGGCCTGTTGTGCCCTGTAATTAATGGGACTCACGCCTTGTGGGACCTTGCTAGAAAAGGATAACTAGTTCTGATCAAAGAAACTTCATTTGTTAGAAGTTCTAGTGAGTGAGATTTAGCAGAGCTATCAAGGGTTATGATTAATCTATACTAGGCCCTGAGCTCCTTCAAAGAAAAGGAGCAGAAAGCAGGCTACACGAGGACCACCTGCTCTTCTGCGCAAATCTGCTGCTGGCCCACAGCTCAGAACACCACAGTCATGCATGTCAGGCACACAGGACAGCCACCCAGCTTTCTTCTCTGCATTCCTTCCTCCGCTCCTCTACAAGACAAGTTGGTTTCTAATGAAAGCTTAAGAACATTCTAGTATTATATGTCGTTCGTGTTCGCTGGTAGCTGGAAAACTTATTCAGCTGTGGGCATGCTCTGATGTCTCTTACCAGTGTGGTTTTCTGTGACAGGCAGGGGAGGCATGAGGGCTGCACCCTTCATCATAAGGGATCAGAAGGAAGGATAGAGTTTACCTATCTTGAAGCAAAATGAAGCAGACATGCTTCATGTTTTCCTTCTGGAAGTCTCTTAAAGGCATTTATACTTGGTGTTTGATATGTTCGTCCATCTAGGTTTAAAACTTGATGACTAGGAGAGGAAGCGGAGTGTTAAGGGGTGGTCTGGGGTTGCAGGTAGAACACCTAGTACCACAGCCTAGCGTCACTGTCATTCAGCTCTCAAGGAGCCCCTTCACTCACTTCTCTTCCTCTCTGTATTGTAATTTGTAATACAAGGGAATCAATGATGTCTGCAGCATTTTATAGCGATTCAAATCCATTACTTGATAACGATGGAGCTTTGCATAGCTGGCCAGCTTTTCTTTCTTTTTTTCAAGGCTGAGTGTTTGACACTTGGAGAACAATAAAGAGAAACTAAAATATGAATATTCAATTAATTAAAAATATTTAGTCAAGTTTTAAAGCCTGTAGAAGCAAGATTCCTTGCTTATTAAGAACATTCATCATTGAAATAAAGAAATGTCCCTATATTCAATATGGTATTTGTATACTTTCTATAATGTGTCTATTTATGGATGACTGTGTGATATTTCATATTCTTAAACTTTGTCTTCAGTGTTTCTCCTTTCCCTTATAAAATAAGTAGATGCTTGTGGCCATCAATTGAATAATCCTATAATTGTATTATATTAGAACATTTATTATATAATCAAGTGATGAGTCTTCAATCTAAGCAGTGGTTAATATATATGAAAATAAATATGTTTTGTTATTTTAACACAATGAATACTTTGAAATATAAAAGACACAGAAGCAAGTATTTGGATGCAAGTAAACGCTATAGGGTTGATGGGTTTTGGGGACAGAAGCATTGCATACTTATCTATCAACATCTGTACATCTGAGTTAAAATTTTGAATGTCCCATACAGATGCATGCTTCGTCTATCACCTACATTTTGAATGAACTGTTTCTGCAGTTAAGTAAAGCTCAGTTTGGGATCCTGTCAGGTCAGCCACGGATGAGCTAGCTTCAGTTGCTTGCTTCTCTAGTCTGTCATCCGTTGACTCACCGTCCTTCCTGTTTCGTGTGGAGAACGGAACACTACGGAAATGATTGAAGGGTGTCTAACCTCCGTAGCCAACGTCAAGGTACAACACACAGCAGCTAATCACTGTCGCTGCTTCGTGTGAATGAGTTCACCGGGGTTTTCATAAGGATTTTCACAAAGTTTGAGGTTTCTTTCCAAAACGTAGTTTGCTTGTAATATAACTCTCAGGAAGGAAAGAAGGAAGGAAGGAAGGAAGGAAGGAAGGAAGGAAGAAGAAGGCATACGGAGGCAGTGTTAACGCTTTCATCTGTTTGTTTGGAGTCTCAGCTGCCCTTTCTCATTTCTTTTCCTCAGGCATACAAATGCTCTCAGTTCAGCCAGACACCAAGCCGAAAGGTTGTGCTGGCTGCAACCGCAAAATCAAGGATCGGTACCTTCTAAAGGCACTGGACAAATACTGGCATGAGGATTGCCTGAAGTGTGCCTGCTGCGACTGTCGTTTGGGAGAGGTGGGCTCCACGCTGTACACTAAAGCTAACCTTATCCTCTGCCGCCGAGACTACCTAAGGTAGGAGTGGTCTTTGCAAACCGGTCAAAGCAAGTGTGTTTTTGATTTGTTTATTTCCTTTCCCTAACTACTGACTGATGTTCTTAAAAGATGTTACCCTGCCAGCCTTCAAAATGTTGGCCTGTATCTATCACACAAACCTCTGCTTAACGGGTAGCCAACAAAAATATCTAAAGTATTTTAAATTGGCTTGTCAGTGGATGCTGATTTAGGAATCAGTCATTCATTACTTACACTGAAAATGATAGATAATGCCAAGGATGTACCTAGATCCAAACAGCATCTGGGTTCCTTCTTTCACTAAAGCATAAGAGATGAGCCTGACAAAGAGACCAATTGTTGCTCAACTGAATATTTTAGCTCTGCACTTTTAATAAGTTCAACATTAGTTGGATGGAATAATCTGGTTATTCAGCTAACTTTCCTATTGTCCCATATACTAAAAGAAATCAGTTTTAAATTTTTGACTTGCATTCATTAATATATTTATGGCAATGTTTTGGAACCTTGACCTAAGTATACCTGTGTCTTGCCACCCCGAGATATTTGAAGTTATCGCATCAATACTGAGCAGCCTCCGACTCTCTTGTGGTTCTATGGAGAATGAAATAGTAAAGACCTCATTGTTGATGGAGGCCAGTCACCACCCTCCAAAGTACAAACATCTGATCAGTCTCAAGGCAGTGTGGGTCTCCATGGTTATACGACCTGAAGCAATTTCAATGTGCGTCCCTGATTTTAGTCAGCACGGAAATGCTACTGGAGGGAGGATTTTCTTTCCAGGGGACTCTGTGACTTGACTTAGCTGCAAATTACTTATCCTAATAAAGTGGGATCTATCAAATTAGAGAAATGATATATGGCATCATTTGGGTTTTCATATTTGATACAATTAATCATTTTTTCCAGCCTGACATTAAGCTATTTATTTGAATCGTTTTCCTTATGACACAAAATTTATCAATTGATAGTAACTCCTTAACCAACCATCCTGGCTCTTCTGGGAGATGTTTCTTAAGAAATTTGATCCCTCTTTTTGTAGTCTATAATTCAGTTATTTAAAGTCAGATTTTTTTTATTCTAATACATATATATCTTTTGATTAATGCCAGTTGCATAGGACCGAATCCGGTGTGGTTTCTCACATTCTGCTCTCCCCTGTTAGCACTGCTTCTGGATTGTGCTTATAGCCTCCTGGTTAATTATAAGCACTTGTTACCACTTCCCTGTATTCCCAGAGTTCAGAAGCACACAAGGTGCCAACAATGGGAAGTAACTCTCAGGAGCCACAATTTCCCTCATTATGGCGGCAAAACCAATCAGAGTTAACATACAACATGCATTCTTTTAGACCTCTGCCGTCTTTGAACTTTTTTTCTTTGAAATAAAAATGTCTCCTGTGCTCATTGTGAATGAGTGCCTCATTTTGAGATAAAGCGTGTGTGTTTGCTTTTCATGATCTGATCTGTTACTTCCTAGGTTCGCCTTGTCTGTGCTAACTGATACCCACGGCTCTTTGCCTCCTTTTGACGTACATTATGCACAATTTCAGTTTATCAAGTGGATTTAGGTTGCAGTGGCAAACAAGAAGTTTATACAGTTTGAGCTGGAGTAGGCATTTTAATAAGTAAAAACGGATAAACATTAAGGAAAGAGTAAAGAATATTGTTTGAAGGCTTGGGATATTTCTGAATCAGAAATGTTGAGTTTGCCTGTTTTGTGGGTAAAATAGTTATGTGTTTTCAATGTGTTGACAGTAGAGGAAGTAACCTTAGATTTGTTTTGTTCCATTCTTTCTTGGGACAGCAAATAGAATGCGGGGCTAACCTAGGATTTGATCATCTCAAATAAATGTGTCACCCAAGGGAATTTATCAAAATAGTTTCTGTATTTGAAGTCTTCATCTTTATGAAAAAACAAAATGCATGTGAATTTCTGCAACGAAGCTTTTTATTTCTGCTAGGCTTTCATTTTAATGACAGTTAACTTAGTATACACATATCTTACTCTCTCAAATTTGGTCCTGATCACCAATATATTCATTTCTCAGAGAACAATTTCCTCTTAACTTGGTCATTACCACATTAATGACCAGTTGTTACAGTAACAGCCTGGGGATTGTTAACATCTCAGATCAGGTTGTTAACAGCAAGCTTATTCCTTATTTACACTGAGGTTGGTTATGTAATGTGGCTTGGGCGATTTCATCAACACAGAAAGTGTCAAGGTGATAAAGGGAATTGGTATGTGCATAAAATGCTGTGTTACAGGGTGTAGAATGTACCACAGATGTGGTATGTTTTCTGTGAAAGTCACAGGTCTCAATGACAGTGTACAGACGTGCCTCTAAGAAGTTTAAATAACCAGAGCCTGTATTTTAAATCAAATTTATTCATATATCAAAGTCTTTGATTGGATACAGCCATGTACAAATGTTTATTAGGTGCCTACTGTGTGGAAGGTAGAATTGGCTGAAATTAAGTGGCTGAAATTAAGACGAAGGGAAGAATATCAGTAAGCTATGGTCGTTGCTTTCAAACTTGGTTTGCAGAAATATGCGCAAAGCGGTCCACGAATAACCCAAGTTTCAGAATTAAGACTCTGGGGCTATTGAGACAGTTTATTTTATTATAAGAATATCTGCAACATGATTAGTGAACAAATACTCTCTGTGTGAATTTTGCTGAACCTCAAAAATCATATTTCTCGTTTCCCTTTATGTTCAATATATATTCTTTCTGTAATCTTCACCAGCAATATTTAACCACTTAAATTCTGTTTCAAAATAGTAGAATTTTTGAACTTTGTATATTATACGATTTGGTTAGAGTAACAAGAAATAATAAGCCACAAATAAGTTACAGATTTGGATTGTGCCCCTGAGTTACAAGTTACCTAAAAAAGAAAATAGAAAATGCAAAAGGAAACATGACCCATGCTTATAAATTATTGATTATTGGTATTTCCGTACACTAGAAAATTGTCCGTAACTGAAGATGAGGGAAACCCTTTTGCCCACTGTATTTAAAAGCCTATTAACATTTTCCCCTAAAGAAGAAAAACAAAAGCCCAGTTCATTCCAAAGTAAGAGTTTTAGAAAGCTTCACTATTATTCTGCGTGACTGGGAGAGTGTTACCTCATGAAATCATGAAGTCCTTTGAATAGTGATTTGAGGTATTAAGTGATATCAAAATATATGAATTTAGATAGCAGGAAACAGAAAGTATAACCCTCAATCACTATTGGGATATATATGTCTTTCTTCAAGACATTTTTTTTTTAACCTTTGTGGCATAGTCAGTTTTATTTAAGGAAAAACAAAACACCTTCTCTGGAGCAGCTTCAGACCCCCAAGCAGGGCTGCTCACTCTCTGAAACTGGACTATCATCCTACCTAGTCACTTGATCTGCTATTTCACTGTGGACGTAAGATATACACATCCAACGAGACAAAATGTACCCATTTGCAGTACTGCAATCCTTTCTCAGGAACTTTCTCCATATAGGAAGAAAGAAAATGATTGACTTCTAAAAACTCTATCTACTTTCAGAACGAGTTCCTGTAATCTATCTGTTGTCAGGCATTTCTGTGCCCAAACCCAGGAAAGAATTTGTTAAAAACATAGCCATCACATCGATACATTCTTTCAAAGATTGTAAAAGTAACTTTATGACAAAAAGCATCTTTAGACTCTAAATTTGAGTCTAAAATTGATATCTAAGAATAGCCCATTGTTGAGTAAAAATATCAACATTTAGCAGTCATGTTTAAGAGACTTTAGGTTCTACTGACACTCCTACTTCGTTTTGGAAAATATGAATGGCCGTGTATTATCAGAGATTTTAGAATTAAGGCTTTGTGTAAATATTAAATAGTCAGAAGTGGTAGAAACATCCCAATGCTTTATTTTTCAACCCAGAGGCAAAACAAATATCAGATCTTACCATTCCATCTTTGGAACAATTTTTGCTTTTAGTGTTCATGTAAGCATGCACGAGCACTAAATTTATACAGCGTACTCTAAGTGTTAAGTCGACAAGGCCTCTATCTCCTATCCGTTTCAATGGTGTCTTGCCAGAGTCGTTGCAAAGCTGTGTGCTCTGCTGTATGCCATGAAAGAAAGCTGCTTATAGCTGTTTCTACATGAGAAGCTGTAAAATGTCTTATATAAAATTTAATGCAATTTGCTATTTTTATATGTGTGCATGATTTGTTTAAAATGAAACTCCTGGGAAAGGGTGAGGTTTTTACATTCCACCAAAGTTGCCAATTAACCAAAATGATTGAAGCTTGCTCTGCTAACTGCAAATTTTATATGCTTTAATATAATAATATAACTCTTAAAGAGAAAATTAAAATAAAATGCTGCACGGAGCATCAGTCTAGCTATAACTTTATTTCACGCTGATCAAGCCTGGTACTTCTAAATTTTTATGTAAGATTAAATTTATATTGATGTGTAATTATAGCCTTAAATGTAAATAGGAATGTGTTATTAATACCGTTTCATCTGGCAAGATGAAGCGCAGCGTCTGTCTTAATGTGGAATAAAGTATTCATTCTTTCTTCCCCTCACTTTCACTTTCTGAATATCAAGCAGATGGAAATATTTGCCCTGGAAAGCAGTACATTATTATTTTTTTAAATAACTTTTTTATCATCTGAAGGTAAAAATAAAACAAGTTTCCATCTAGAGTGAGATACCTTATTCATAAATTTTCTCTACAAGCTTCATTTAATGATTTTAGGCATGTTACTGCAGTCCTAATTTTTATGATGTATGATTGTCTTAGTTGATCTTAGTATAATGAAATATTTTGATGCATGAGCATATTTGATGCCATGGTCTGTGAAAAATATTGTTATAACCCTTGCAATTTATTATACATTATTTACAGCTTTATGAAGAGTTGTAACTTTTCCATTTTGCTTTTATCATAGGAAAGTATTGTTGAATTCTAGTTTACACTATATAGTATGCATAGAGCAATATAATGA